TTAACAAATTATAGCATTTGTCAGAATTTTGTGAGTAAACTTTTTGTAAGAGAGATAGTGAATTTAACACTCACTTTTCCATTTATTTTGCAAGATCCTGGAAGGGCTGAAGGTAGTCTTGCTTGTTGTCAGCAAGGTCACTCATTTCTGAATGCCTGTTGGAACACTGCTCTGCTCTCCCTTAAGAAGCAGTGGGAGTGTGTACTTTCAAATATTGACCGCCTGTTATGTTTTTAGGCTGAAAGTCCTTCAAAGAAAATCTTTGAGGAAGGATTTTGCTTTAAATAATTAAAGAAGAAGAAATAGATAAACTATTGTGAATGTAATAAATGATTAACATTCAGACACTTTTGCATTAATATTTAATAAGAAAATGTGTTGTAACATGAAAGATAAATTTCCCTAAATATATAAAAATATGAACCACAAATCATTCAGATCACTTTTCTTACCAGTCTGCAAGTTACATTTAAGACAATGTACATGTTTCATCTCTAAAATGGTATAATTAGCATTTCTTTCTTGGATTCAGAAAGTATTTTATAGTCTTTTCCCCTTTGCCCTGTGAACTTTAACAATGATCTATGAATCCTTGATGTTTTCTTTAAAACACACAGGAAATTGTTCCTTTCTAATTAATATTCAAGTAATTCCTTTATAAGCAATGCTAAATGTCTTTGGATATGAATATAGACACCATATATAAATGCCTCGCACATTCCAATATAGCAGTATTAGATTGAAGATTTTCTAAATTATTTCAGAATTCTAAATCAACAAAAGAAAAATGAATATTGGTTTCAAATAGGATTAGATTATAGGAGCATTTGATGGATTGTAATAAATTTACTCTAAACAAGGGAAGTGCACTTACTTAGTTTTCCTTTACTAGAAAATACAACAATAATGGGAAAATTCCAAATGTAAATATTTGGCTTTAGTTATTTTTATGTGTAAAGATGAAACATAGAAAGCAAATGTGATAATAATACATGGATTAAACAGATTTTTACCTCCTGATGCCATGGAAGTAAACCCCTTCTCTGAAAAACTTGTTTCTGAATAATTGCAACAGTGTTGCTTGAAAAGCAAAATTTCACATCAAAAGCATTGGTTTTCTATAGGATGCTTTCAGTTTGATTCGTGACAAAAAAAATAAAAGCACTTTTCCTGCAGTTCTGTTACTCCAAATGATTCTTTGTCATCATTTATCCATTGCCTTATTTTGTTTTACAGTACAACTTAAGCATATCTGAAATAAAAGCACTGGAGAAACTTGTGCAGCAGTTCTTGCATGGAGGAAAAACAACCTTAATGGATGTGTGGAAACCATTCCAAAGAATGTACAAACCTGACTTAGCTTGGCAGGTTTAGACTTTACTGAGCTAAGCAGGCTGTTCAACTGGTTGGTGAAGTTCAGGAAACACAATCACTGCTGGAAATGCATTGTTGTCTCTTGGGAACTGGCTGTTAAAGTTGTTTTAGAACAAAATATACACAGAACACTTATGTAAAAAAAAAAAAACCCTCTCCTTTTTTGGTGTTGTAGGGTCATGACTCCTAGTCATTCATTACTGAATGCCCATCACATATCATCCTTTTTTTTTTCTGAGGATGTAAAGCGTCATGTGTTCATTTGCACACTCGTGGGAAACCCCAGCTGCTTTCACCAAATCTATCCAGAACGATCGTAAACACAGAGGAGAGCATGCTTAACTAACTGTATATCCAAAAGGAACATCCACAGCAAGACAGAGCCCGAAAATTATCCTGGGGAAAACATTCATTCATTTTCATGCATCTTGGAATTTCAGACCAACAAGTAAACAGTACGTAAGTATGGTTACTTATCTAGAGGTCTCAAAGAGAACCAAATATTATCAGCCATATCCTTTAAGGGACAAACAACAAAAAATACAGAAGCACAAACATTGACAATATAACTTTGGGGGGTAATGTTAAGTGTGATATCCAAATGTGGTCTGTCCTGTGCTATTATGCTTTGCTGCTTTTCTCTGCAATTGCCCTGCTTTGATTCTCATCAGTTAGCAGACACTATGTTAAAGAGACAATTACATAATCAATCAATAAATTATACCAAATATCATGTAATAATAATAATGGATGCTTTAAGTTTTGTTTGACAGCTGTGTTCTACAAAGGTAAATTTTTGAAAATGAAATAGATTCATTTTAATGTGATACCTAAATACACAAAAAGTGCAGTGCCATGTAACAATGTGCGGTGTGCATTCCTATTAACATGCTTTAAAATGGGCAAAAATGTATCTCTATCTTCAAATACTTATCATTTCTTTACAGCAAAAGAATTTAAAATGTCCTTCGAGCTCTTTGAACCATCTGGTACGTTATTGGTATCTACAACCACTCACCACTTCTACCTCACTCTAAATTTTTGATACAATGACCAACATTTCTTCCCAGAATCTGACGACAATTCAATTACTTTAAATTTCTGAAAATTAAACTGTTACTGATCATACATATGGATAATAAAACAGTTTACTCTTTTTAGACCTTAGCTGTTTGTCATAACACAATGATTTCCAGTCCATTCATGTTTTTATAGATGAATTTTATATATACATTATATATTATAGTATATGATACATATACAATCCATAATCATTTATCAGTTAATAAGCACTTAGATTGATCTTTCTGGTCTTTGTACATAGTGATGCAGTGAACTTGAGAGTATAAGTGTATTATTTCTTAGATAAATGTCAGTTTCTAGTGATTTGAGTGTCTCAGCTTTTTTCCTAACAATAATTCTTCAAAGTTTTGCTCTGAATACCCTTTTTCTGTCTCTTTTTTCTTCTCCTTTTTATTTAAATTAGAAGCAAGATTATTTTACATGTCAGTTCCAGTTCCCTCTCCCTCCTCCCCTGCCCACCACTAACACCCTACCTATCCTATACCCTTTCTACTCCCCAGGAAGGGTGAGGCCTTCCATAGGGGGTCTTCAGAGACTGTCATATCATTTGGGATAGGGCCTAGGCCCTCTCCCATGTGTCTAGTCTTAGGAAGTATCCATCTATGTGGAATGGACTCCTAAAGTCCATTTCTATGCTAGAGATAAGTACTGATCTACTACAAGAGGGGCCATAGATTTCTGAGTTCTCCTCACTGACACCATATTCATGGGGTCTGGATCAGTTCCATGCTGGTTTCCCAGCTACCAGTCTGGGAACCAAGAACTCCCCCTTGTTCAGGTCAGCTGTTTCTGTGGGTTTCACCAGTCTGGTCTTGATGCCTTTGATCATCACTCCTCCCTCTGTGCAACTGGATTCCAGTTCAGTTCAGTGTTTAGCTGTGGGTGTCTGCTTCTACTTCCATCAACTGCTGGATGAAGGCTATGGGATGGCATATAAATTAGTCACCAATCTCATTATTAGGGGAGGGCATTTAAGGTAAGGTTCTGTTTGTATTGTTGTTCATAATTATTTACAGAAAATGTTCCCTGAATATTTATGAATTGCATCTGTCTTGAGGAATGGGACATATCATTTCTGGAATGGATCAACTTCTTCCCTTTGGAACATTTGTTTCAATGAAGAAAAACATATAAAATATTTTGTCCATTAGTAATGACCATTGTTAAAAAAATTAAAATGGCTTGAGGTACAAGACATGTGATAAAGAGTGAAGTATGACTCTTAGCAGTTTGGCCTGAAACATTCTTTCCAAGAGTGAAGAGTAAAAAAGGGACTAGGTTAGGGTGAGGAACTGAGCTTCTGTGTTGAAGTCACTGATTGTGATATGTATATTACATTTATATATTAAGGATCCAAGTATAAATGTCAAGCAGCAATTGAAAGTTAGAAATTATATGCAGAGGGTGGCATTTGATATATGAAGAAGACTTCTGCACATACATCTATGCATCTAGAGTTTGTTCTACTGGGCTTATTCATGATTACCTCTAGAATAAAGAGATGATACAAAATGGACAAATACAAAGTATGTGGACCTCATGCCTTAATCTTGATCTTTAACGAGTGTTCTTGAGTTGCAGATTATGAAATGGACAATGAAAATGCACATGCAGAATCATTTTGGCTGATGGGTTAGCAGAGCATTTGCACTGGCACACCTGGCAGGGATGCTAGAGAGTGAACCCATGAGAAAACAAGGAAAGATCATATTTCCCTTCAGCCTCAGAATGTATTTACGGAATCATCACTGTTCTTCTGCCAGAGAAGGACACATTTTAATAAAAAAAAAAGCAGTTGATTCATTCTATGGGCCCTGTGGTGCTTTCATCAGACGTTTTATTTTGTTCATATCAGTGACCCCAGGAAAACAAATGATAGGGAAATTTCTTTTTTATTTTTAAGATTATAATATAGTGACATTTCTTGCTTCCTTTTCTTTTCATCAAAATGTTCCATACAGGCCTCCCCTACTTCCTGCTTTTTTAAATTCATGACTGTTTTTTCCCATTAATTTTCATTGCATTCATATATGTAGAATAAGACATATTCTTAAATATCACCTGTTCAGCCTGTATTATGCCACTTGTATGTATGTGTTCAGGGATGACCATTTGATCTGGTAACCAGTTGGTGTGTTCTTCAATGGGGAAGAACATTTCTTTGACTTTAAGCATTGCTTAATTAGATGTGGCATTATTTTCTCAGGTCACAGAACCAGCTCAAGTAACTATAATAAAGGTTTCTGGATCCTGTCTTCCCAGAATCCACATCCTCTTGTTGGGTGAAATCCAGGCTCGAAGTTTTGGAATCATCCATCACTGCTTGAGGTTAGGGTGTATCTTTAATCTTAGTACCTTGGCTTTTACCTTAGTGGAGAAGTGAATTTGTGACTATACCTCTTTCAGAAGACATTCTTTTGTACTTTGCACTTAGAAAGGAAAAAATAATAAGCTAGTTACATTTCTTCCAAGTACATACACTGTCTTGATAAAATTCTGGAATAATCTCAAGAAATCTATCCTAACCTTCCAAGCATCCTATCGTTCATGTTACTTTTCTTGTGCCTCCATGCTTTTAATATAAAGTCTGTAACTATCTACTCAGATTACACATACATAATGCAAACAGATTATTTTAGAAATGGAATCTTGTTCCTGTGAAAGAACTCCGTTGCAATCCTTTCAATAAAAAATTAATAACAGCATAAGCTGTGATGTTGAGATGATGTAAATTCTATGCAAAAATCTACGGCAATAGCCACTTCTACATCATGTAAGACTGATCACAAAACACTTAGAGAAGTGGGTGTCTGAAAAAGTACTGTTAAAGTTAGCACTATATGAATCAACACACTGTAACAGAGCTAACTCCACTGTAGTTTTTTTTCCACTTATGAGAAAGTATGCAACAGAGTACTTAGGAAAGTTTTCATGACTGAACTTCAAAAAAACTGCCTAAGATAACAAATGACCTCATGATACTTGAGTTTGGGGTATCGGTGGAGAGGATCTAAATGTTAGCATCATTCTTCATCGGCAAGCTGTTTCTTGTTAATTAGTTCTCCTTTGTATCCATATAGTACAGTGAAAATAGCTTAATAATTTCTTTGGCAGGAGAGGATCCAACTTAGGGCATAGGTCCTTGGTCTATGGGTCCATAGGTTTCCAGTTATTATTACAGAATATATTTCCATTTAATCATTTAGTACCATTGGCATGAAGTCTATCTAAATATCTAAATATTCTGTACTTATTTCAGAGACCAAATGAAAATTTCTACAACCTATGGTACAATTTTGAATGTACTCCTTAGTCATATTTTTAATTCTCAGAACTTTCACTCATAATATAACCCAATTGGGAAAACTCTTGCCTTACAGTCATGATGACCCAGGAATCCCCAGATCCATATTAACAAGCCTGGCTCGATAACACACTTGGAATCCCATTGCTGGTAAGGTGCAGATTGCATTGATTCTTATTTTTTAATAAACGTGATTTTATTATCACCAATAGAAACTGTTACAAGGGGCAATAAACACCATGGCATTTTCAGGGTATAGTCTGCCTTGGGAAAAATAATCTAACCATCACAATAAACTGCTATAAAAATTTTAAAGAAAAAAAGTCCATGGAAGCCAAAGAGAACACTTACTTATCAACAATTATATAATCTCAGCTATGACATTATCCTACATGCTATATAAAACGATTACATTTTGAGAGGATTATATATTAACGTGCAATTATAAGGAAGAGTCAGAGAGGGAGTGGTGGCTCACTGAACACTGGGAGAAGGCATCTGCCACCAACTCCAAGCACAACCCACCCCACTTGCAAACAACAAATTAAAAAGTTCATACAAATTTAACATATCACAGAAGATATCATAGAACCTTTGGACCATTTTGTCAGATGCTGAAGGGCTGAAAAGTTGCAGTATTTTGTTACAGCCATGATAGTGATATTGGTAGAGACTGGGCTGAAAACATTTTGATCATCACAATTTTTTCATATTGCTCTTTTATAGCTACACCTGCCTTCCCCCTAGCAATTCCTAATCAATTTTCCATATCTATAACAATGTCGAATCAAAAATTTATATGAATGGATTCGTTTTGTATGGTGCTTCCAATTGACTTTCTCAGTAATAAAATCCTGCCATGTCAACCAGGTTACTGATATCCAGTGTATATCTCTATTTTCCTTCAAAATGAACAGTATTCTCTTATGTAGGTGCTCTTCAGGTTGCTTAGAAATGCACAGGTTAAATATGTTTTAGTTGTTTCCAACCTTCCCTGTCACAAATAAAGTGACAGTCAAAAATCAGTCATGAGTTTCAAATCATCATCATCATCATCTGACTTCCCAGTTCTCTGGGATAAAGACCAGGAGTTCATTGCTGTGAAGTACATTAGCTCTATATTCAGTTTGGAAAAGGATATCAAATTGTTTCCCACGTAACTGTATCCCTTTGCATTGCTGTCTGTCAGGGTTGCATAATTAACTGTAGCACACATTCTTGCCAGCATTTGATGTCTCTGATTTAAAATGGCATTTAGTATGATTGATGTATGTTTTGAACTGGCACTTTTCACAATGGTAATCGTTTAACAAAACAATGGGAATGCTAAATTAAATTCCTTTTCACATATCTCTGATTGATATAACTTATTCATAGAAATAACTGTCCTTATCTTTTGTCCATTTTGTATTCTGAGTGATTGTAAATGGTATTATATATTTTTTGTAGTGGTATCTGTATAAACACTTCTAATACTCAGAAATACAATAATACAATTAACTTTGAGTGTGTGCCTTATAGACTGTCATTATACTGAAATCACTAACTAGGTTATAAGTCATGTGTTTTCAATAAAATTCCTGAGAATTTTATTGTTTAGAAAGTCAGATCTTCTGTTACAGATGATTGAGTTTCTTTACTCTTACCTTGCATACCTATTGTTCTGTTTTGTTTTCTTTGTCTTCTTTGGTTTTGTAATTGCCTGCAAGCACTTTCAGCACTATGCTGAATGAGTCTGGTGAGACATAAATTCCTTGCTTCTAAGATAACAGAGAGGAAACCAACTACCCAACATCCACTGCAACTTTAGATTACAGTGTTTTAAAGTTATATTCAATTTCTTATTTTTTTGCTTATTCTAATTATTTTTCTCTATATTTTGTATTTATTTATTTACTCTTTATTTATTTATTTATTTATTTATTTATTTATTCATTTATTTTGGATTTTCAGGACAGGGTTTCTCTGTGGCTTTGGAGGCTGTCCTGGAACTCGCTCTTGTAGACCAGGCTGGTCTTGAACTCATAGAGATCCGTCTGCCTCTGCCTCCCGAGTGCTGGGATTAAAGGCATGTGCCACCAACGTCCGGCCTATATATTGTCTTTAAATTAGAAGTAATCTTATTTTACAAATCAATCCCAGTTCCTTCTCCCTCTCATCCTACCCTGCCCGCGAACACCGACTCCTTCCTCGGGGGAGCATCAACCTCTGTCACATCATTTGGGGCAGGGCCTAGCACTACGCTCCCCACCCCCCGTGTGTCTAGGCTGAGGGAGTATGCCTATATGTGCAATGGTTTCCCAAAGTCCATTCATACACTAGGGATAAAAAACTTTTCAATTCTTACCACCTTTGTTTTAGAATCTTATTATTGATCTTCAGTGATTTTTTTTCTTGATCCTTACTATTTTTCTTACTCCTTTCTTTATTTGCTGAACTGCACTGACTGCTTTGGAACTATGATCCACGCACACATCACTGCTATAAACCCCACACATAGTTAATTTTGCTTGCTAATATTTTTTAAAAGATTACTAAATTAATATTATGAGACAATCAGCCTATAGTTGTCTTCTTTGTGGTACAGTTTTTGTCTAGTTCTGAGACTGGAGTAACATTAACATTGTAAAATTAGTTGGGAAGTTTATCTTTATTTTCATGAAAAATTGTGGATAACTTTATAAATTATCTTTTAAACATTTGATGGAATAATCCAATGAACATTTTTAATACCAGAGATTTTTAAAGTGTTTGAAATTTATGAATGTAGTTCTCTCTACAGTAATAGTGATAATTGAAAAATGTCTTATTGAAAGTGTGTCATTATCGGGACTTAACTAAGAAACTTCTCCATCTTATCTATGCCGTCCTTATCTATAGAGGTATTTGCTTTCCTTCTTCATTCTGTAGATGTCTTCAATACCTACAGTAATTTTGCTTTCTTCCTGATATTAGTGAATATTGTTATTTTCGATTTACTTGTCAACTTCTGTATTCAAGTTTAACTTCTGCTATTGTTTCTGTTTCTGTGTTTGTCATTGTGTTGGCTTTGTATTGTGTTGCTTTTTCTAGGTTCTGAAGGTAGAGGCTTTGATCAGAGAATTTCCCTATTTTTTTTTGTTTGTTTTGGTTTTTCAATGCTTATTGAGGGACATCTTTTAACACATAATAGTTCCAATCACATTTTCTGTTTGCTACAGCCATTTAAAAACTTTGCTTAGTGCCAGTTTTATTTATATGATGTGTAGTTTATAAAGTGATGCCATATAGATTCCTGTCCTAATCCTGATTCTAATTTTCATCATGTAAAACAATTTGATCCTATGCTTATGATTCTGTGAAACAAGAACAATAGTGCATTCCTTTGTTTTTTGTCATAAAAGGAACATTTCAGTACAATGTATTCCCACAAAGTAAGATTTTTTTTGTGTGTTTCAGAATATTAAATTTTCCTGTAACATGACTTTCTTGATCCACAGGTGACTTGAAAGTGATGTCTATAACTTCTCATCATTTGGTTCTTTTCTGGTTGCTGTGTTTTATAAGTTCAGTTATTTTATGTGTACAAGTGTTTTGCCTGCCTGTATCTAAGTGCACTATCTGCATGTCAGGAATCCAGAGATGCCAAAAGAGGGCATTAAATCTGGAGCTGGAGTCTTGAATACAATTTCGCTTTTATAATGATTCTGGTGACTGAGCCCAGGTCTTCTGTCTGTAAGAGTAGTAACTGTTATGATAAATCTTTCTGAAAAAGCTGCCGAGCCCCACTACCACATGTGCATTTTATGCCAGCTGTCTGCCTGAGTTAGGCCCAAATGAATACACAGAAACTTGTATTAGGTTCAAATGCTGCTTGGCTAATGACCAGGATTCTCATCTGTTATCTCAGTCTTAATTATCATAAATCTATATATTTTATAAAACTTATCTTATAGAGGATGCCTTTTGCTGGCACCCTCTCTTGTCAGTGGCTCACATGGTGCTGCTGGAAGAGGAAGGGGAAACTTCCTGTTTCTCCTTGTTTAAATATGAGTCTCCTTGCTATGTCACTTCCTTCCTGGATCACCACTTCTTTACTACATTTCCCAGAATCCTCTTGGACTCCTAGTCCTGTCTAACTTGCAGTTTCATTGGCCAAACAGAACTTTATTCAACAATCAAGAAGATAAACATACACAGAAGTACTTCCCCCATCAAGTAACTGCTGTTTTTTTAATATATATATTTTTTTAAAAAAAAACAATCTGCTTTTAAATTTTCATACCAATCCGAGTCCCCTCTCCCTCCCACCCTCCTACTTCCTCACTTTCTCCCATCCCACCACCCATCCTACTCCTCAGAGGGAGTGAGGCCTCCCATGGGAAATTAACAAAGTCTGTCACATCCCTTGAGTCAGGACCTGCCCTGTATCTAGGCTGAGCAAGATATCCCTCCATAGGGAATGGGCTCCAAAAGCCAGTTCATGCACTAGGAATAAACACTGGTCCTTGATGGGGGAAGTACTTCTGTGTCTGTTTATCTTATTGATTGTTAAATAAAATACTGTTTGTCCAGTGAGACAGCAAGTTAGACGGAACTAGGAGTCAAAGAGGATTCTGGGAAATGTAGTAGAGAAGTGGTGATCCAGGCAGGAAGTGACAAACAAGGAGACTCATATTTAAGTGAAGGAGAAACAGGAAGGCTGCCTTTTCCCCTTGGCTCCTGCTGCAGTGGCACAATGTGATACACTGGCAAGGAGGGATGCCAATAAGGCGTCGGATAAGATAAGTCTTATAGATTATATATAGGTTTATGATAGTTAAGACTGAGCAAACAGATGAGAATCCTAGACATTGGCCAAGCAGCATTGTACCTAATACAAGTTTCTATGTATTCATTTGGGCCTAACTCAGGCAGTGGCTGGCATAAAGCTCACACATAGAGGTGGGGCTCAGGTGGCTTTGGGGGGAAAGATTTATCGTAACAGGTCCTAATGCCAGTGTCCCCATGAACTGCTCAAGCCAAACAACTGTTACTCACATTCTGAGGGTCTAGTTCAGTCCTATACAGGTTCCCCAGCTGTCAGTCCAGAGTCGTTGAGCTCCCATTAGCTGTGGTCGGCTCTTTTTGTGGGTATCCCTAGCATGATCTTGCTCTTATACACTCAGTCTGCTCTCTTGAGCCTCTATTAGATCATTTTTAATACATACCTTAATAATTTTCCTATCTTCATAAGGCATATTTACCTATAACTTTATAATATATAGTATTAGCCAGTTTCAAATTAGTTTTTTTTTTAATAAAACACACAAAAATTAAAATTAAAAAAACACTTTTTATATATACTGGCAATAAAATTTTCAAAATGTCTAAAATGCTTATCCTGGAAAATGCTTTCAATTTTTGTCAATCACTACACTCCAACAAGAGAATCTAGTTTTTCTCTCTCCCCATTTTTTCCCTAATTTGTAGAGGGTTTCTGACAGATCTGTACTCTTTGTGTGAGGAGTTTTTCATGATCTCATCATTGTCTGTTTATAATTTTTACCTCGGTGTCTTTTGTCACTTTGTGACTATCAGAGTTAGTTACAATTTTTGGCTGATTAAAAAAATATGACATTTTCTAGTTTATGACATGTCTAATTCAACCAAATTTAAATGATTTTGTTCCAAATTGTCCCACTCTAATTTTAGTAAATGACTACATCCACTCATGCTTGAGAATTTTTCTGACTGGAGTGTCAATTTCCCAATCTGTCTGCTCTAAGTCCTGTTCAGTGCATTTGTGTAGATGATTTTTATAGGTGTGCAAAGCTTCTTGAAAAGAATTGCTATTAAGTGAACTTCTTATTCATTATGGGAAACAGTGTGATTGTGGGTGTATCAGCAATGCTGCATTTTATCTAGTTGAAATTTTATGGCGCAAAGTGGTGTGTACTTCTTAGGTTTCCAAATATCTAATCTATGGTAATATCTTCTTCACTTCTAAACCAGAAAGCCCTGACTTTTCATTTTCTCTTAAAAGTATCTGCCTTGCCAGAGGCATATTGATTTAATTAGTGTTCACAGTAATCTGTGTTTGCTTTTATTTGCCTCTATGATGAATTCCCTGCCTATTTCATTATTTCCTGGTCTTAAAGTTGTCTTTTTCATTTTTCTTCCAAATATATGATGCCTCACTCTTCTATTTTTTCTTGGAATATATACCTGCAAACATATAAAATATTCCTACTACTTATATTTAGAATCCCACACTAATTAAAATATTCCTCTGTATATGTCAGCATTTTGCCAATTATGTTGTTTATATATCTTCTCTTCTCTCTGCTAGCTTTCATTTTTTTTTACCAATTTTATCAACTGTTGGAAAATTACTGAAATGGAGTGTTAGTTTTTAATGATATTATTTTGTCTTACATGGTCAGTTTTTGTTCTATTTTTATTAGTTTGCTTAGTATATTTCTTTTTGTGTTTTTGCTGACAATTCTTTTATAATATAAGCTTCATGTATCTCTTCTAAGATGCAGACAATTGATTTTGATTTTGTTCCTTCATATCCAACTTTTTACATGTTTCCTCATTATTTATGTGGTTTGTTTGAGCTAAGTTAATGACTTTACATTTTATGTGCATTTCTTTGAAATTTTATGAATTATTTAGTAGTTTCCTATCATTAAAATTGAGATATATTACTACTTGGTTAATTGATGTTGGTTATTAATAAGTATTCAAAATATTTCTTATTGCTTATAAAACTTAGAACTATTTGTAAGCACCAACTTCTTCCTTCTTTGTTATGGTTCTCTGCCTGACATTCTGCATCTCCTTTAATTGTAGGATTAATCATTGTAGTTTAGACTTATCTAAAGTTGTGGTAAAACGTATGTAGTATCAGCAACTGGATATCCTTCTGCAGATGCAAAGTATATTGACCATAATCACTTAAATGTTGTGCTTCTGGGTTGCAGGTGCAGAGCGTGTAAAGGAATTTATCTCCAATGGAAACATGAATTCCTACTACTTTCACTGTAAGGAGATTGACTCTACAGTTTTGCTGACATTCTCAGAAGCTCCAGTTTTTGTGAGATGGCATAAGGTGACCAGGTGTAGAAAAGTGTGGCATCAAATATTTCACATTTCTAGTGTCATGAGACATCCAGAGTGTCATTAGAGTAAAGAATAAAAATCATGATTAGAGTTCAATCCTTGAAAAGCTCATAACATCCTTAGTTTATGGGACATCACAACTTAGACAGAGGATGAACAAATTTTCTGTAAACAATTTTAAATATTTCAAGTACATTTAAAAATTTAACCTTGCCCTTTAATAAGTATTGTTCTGGCAGCCACATAGTTTCTGTCAGTTGCTTGATTTTGCAATCTTAAGACAAAACAAAATAACACACAGAAAACAGATGAGGATTGGTCACAGCTAGGTTTCAATAAAACTGCCTTCGCAAAAATAAGCAATGGATCAAATTTAGCTCACTCAATACACTGAATTTGTACTGGAGATATGTAGGTGTGATTGACAAAAATCTTTTTGATACCATCTTTTCTATTCGTCATTATTCTAGTATTTTGAGAGACAACGCTATATCAAATGAGATATTTAAGATGTTATTCCTTTTTATGATTTCTACATTTGAATTACCTTCAACTGGGGAAATATTCAATGTCTGATAAATCAAAGGAGTACAACCTGGTTGTAAACTTGTTCCGCGGCTAAGCTACAGAATAGGTATTTCTTTCACCTGTGAGCTCCAGGAAGAAAGGGCCTAGCCTACATTTTATAGTGGCAACTGTTTTACAACAGTTTTGATCTCAGCAGATACTTGTGAGGTAGAGTTTGGGTAGTGTTGAGATCAATAATCAGGGTAGTTCCATGCAAAGGGCCCTAGAAAGGCCTGAGAGAAGGCATATAGTTGAAACTCATGCAGAATCGAGTGATTTGAGACTAGGAACAGTATCCTACACACTGCTTCCCTAAGCTCTTGTGGCTGATAATGAGTTGCTTGCATGTTCTGTTTTGGTTTTCTCTCTCTCTCTCTTTTTTATTTTATTAAGAAAAATGTGATGGCATGAAGTAACCATCTTCATTTAAAGCTTCAATAAAATGTAATCAATGTACCTCATTATTATACATAATATGCACAGGAAATACCCACATTCTCCAGCATATGCACATTCTATCACATTCTATAATGAAATGAATAATTGCTGAGCGTACTGTGCACACCTGTAATTAATCCCATGATTCAAGAGACTGAGGCAAAAAGATGGCAAATATGAGTCCAGACTGGGCTTCATAGTGAGACCCATCTTCTCCAATCCACCAATGCGCAGTTGATGACCTCATGTGGACTCTTATCTGGATCCTCTAATGTCATGAAGGGTTGACATTGAAAGCAAGTACTCTATCATATACTTCACAGGACTCAGTTCCCCACCAAGTCTGGATCCTGGAGAATGATCTCTTTTTACTTCGATGGTTAATCTGGACTGTCAATTGATTGGCTCTGTTGAAATCTGAGGTCCCCCTTCTTGGCTTTGGGAGAGCATTTCCAGGAGGGTGAATGGGAGGAGGTGGCTCTCCACCAGAGTAGGCAGTACCCTCTCCTATCAGCACAGCTAGAGGAGTTCCGAGAAAGGAGAGCCACCTGCTTGCCTGCATTTGCTCCCTGCTAGTGAGCAGGCCTGTCCTGTTATTGTTGCTCTTCCTACTGTCGCTGCCACCCTTTACTGATATTTGAACCCAGTTTCTTTGGCCTTTCAGGATAGACTGAAGACCAGCAATTCCTCAAGAACCCTTCAGGCCTTCAGCATAGTATTAGAACTGCTGAGGTATCCAGCCACGTGTATTGACCAGCTACTGGGTTCTCAGCCTCTCAGCCTCTGGGGATGGCTAAAGTTGGACTACTTGGATTCTATGGAGTTAGTTTAATAAATCCCATTTGTAGCATATATATTTTCTATCAGTTCTGTTCTTCTAGAGAACTCTGACAATGCATCTTCCTCCATAATTATTTAGCACACTCCTGGAACTGAGTATGTGGGCAATAAATATCTGTAGAAGACTTTGCCAAAAAAAAAAAAAAGAAAGAAAAAGAAAAAGAAAAATGTGATAAAACAGCATCATTCTTATGTCTAATTTGTCACATTTTCTTTGGAAAACTTTTTATCCTAAAACAGCAAATATTTCTTCCTGGTGTCACTTTTACTTAAAATATTGACTGGCATTTGTTATTTCAAGAAGAGATTTATTTTGGGTTTCTTTTAGGTTTTGTATTGTTTAAACTGAGGATCCATTATCTACAAAGTTTCTAGATAAATTGTCTGCAAAGTCTATGAAAAATTTTCTCTCCTCTGAAATTCATTATTTCATCCTCTTCTATATAATCTACGAAGACCCATGGCTACTTCTTTGTACTTTGCATTATAATATGACCTTCTTTTCTTCATTGAATAATTCATACAATGGTAATGAAGACACTTTTATGCCTGTGTATATATTTGTATAAATGTGTTGGTCATGTGAGGGGGCGGTACACATTTTGAACATGTGTGTGAAGACTGGAAGAAAATCTTAGGTGTCATCCTCACAGATGCCATCTATTTCCTTTGACACAGGTTCCCTCATGGCATTGGAAGGAGCCTCAGAGATTTGCTTTTCTTTGCCTACCTAGCTCTGGAATGATGAGTCTGCCCTACCACTCAGCAGCTTTCCATGTGTTCTGGAGGTCAAACAGGTTCTCGTGCCTGCAAGCAGACTATTTCTAAGCTGAGCTGCCTATCAGGCAAGGCAACCTTGTAAAGTTGTTTAGTTCCCTAGTTATCATTATCATCATCACTGCTGTCATCATTGTATACTATACTATCTGTATGGTGTTATCTCCCCATCCCTGTCTCTGTCTCTCTCTGTGTGAATGAACATGTGGAGATGCCATGTGATATGTGGTTGAATAGTTGTAATATGAAAATCCAATCTGTTCTAGGACCAGTGGTGAAAGAGGTACATGATACATAATCTTCTGGCCCCATCCTGGAACCATAATTTTCCATGGGACAATGGTTGCTGGGATTTGAGAATTATATCAATGTCAATGTCTAGAAGCTGGAACTACATGTTTTTAGTATTACTTTTGATAGAAACAACCTTAGAGAAAACTGTAAGCCAAATGGTACTAGTCTCTTTAAAATTCTCCTTAATTTCCTTTAGGAAAAACTGCCAGCAATCGCCATATTCAAATCTAGTCACAGCATGTCTTCTTACCTGTAAGAAACTGGCCAACGGAGAGGATGTTCATGTTAACAGTACACCCGGAGTAGACTAGAAACGTGGCCCAATGCCTCACCTCACACTTGAGTGCCCTGTGTAATCAAGCAGATTTCAATCCGGAGGCTATTCCATGGACAAAAGAGAGGAACTACAACCCCTGGCAACACTTAAAGCGAAGAATTGGAGCGCTTATCACAATTTGCAAGCGTTCCACCATCCAGGTGCCGTGCTCTGAGGAGGCCTCCGTCAACATGTCTCATTAAGGCCAATGCAGGAAGTGGCAGGCGATGACTGCCAGCTGAGTAGCAGCACTAAGAACTGTAGAAGAAAACCCTACATGACAATAGTTAGAGGAGAGCCTTGTGCCCAGAAGTGCCTCACAGGCTCGCTTTGGAAAACAATACTCTAGCTTTAGAACTAAGAGATATTTACATAATGTTCTCAAAGGCAGAAAAATATACTTTGGGGGAAATGTTTTAGGTTTAAGAGTTATGTGTTATTGAAAGAAAACTTATCCCATACTTAAGAGTCTGATGTCTGGACTTTTCTTATTCAGTAAAATGAGAATATAAAATCATATTATAAATGTGGGCAGAGATTTGGGACCAGAGACTATGGGAGGGCACAGCTGTTAACTTCAGCCTCTAAGGCTTCTCACACATGATCATGATACTCATAGGTGGTTTTCAACATAAATAAACATAAGATTTCAGCTTCCTATCTATCCTTAAAAGCTTAAATGAGATGCTTTAATTAAATTGAAAAGGAAAAGAAAATTATATCAGAGGATTTTGTATTATTTACACCATTTACTGCTCCAAACTCTTCCTGTTCATCTTAGACCCTGGATAAATATTTTGAAATATAAAGAATTAGAATTTGTATTTATGATTTATACTTACTATTAATATTTCAGTGAGTATAAAACTTGGTGAACTAAAATCCTCTCTCCTCTCTTAATTTGTTTCCTGTAGTTGACCATTATTCTTACATGTTTGTATGCTTCAAGTGTACAGACATAATAGTTGTGATGATAATACCACTCAAACCTTGTCTGAGTAGATCCGGGTACTGGTGTAAGTACTCTCTGTGTTCCCTCATAAATGGTTTTATTAAGTCCCCATTTGAGTCTTGCAACTACTGTTTCTATTCTAATATATAAGAGAACAAAACAAGCACAGGTGAGCCACATTCTTAACAAAATATTATTATCCCTGCCATTTTACCCCACAATTTTCTTTGAGCTCCAAGGTTCATCCCTGTTTCTGTAGGGAAGTAGACAGTTTTTCCCAACTGTTTTGAATGATTGCATAGTACTACGTTTGACTGCATCAACATAGTAATACAGTACAACGATTAAGCCATTATCATGGTGTTAAACATGCATGCTAGCAATGGTTTTCAAAAAAGTTGTCTGTAGGTAGAGGCGCATAATATTATAGTAGCCTATCTTTAGGATAAGTTCATAGAAATAGCACTTCTGATTCAACATGGTCTCTTAGTACATAGACATCTTATACGTGAGATTGATTACTTTCCAAAATATTGTCAAATGCCATTATCAGTTTCACTCATTGCCAGTGTGAAACCTGAAAGCAATATCTTCTAGTTACTGTATGTTGTGTTTACCTAGTATAAGTGATTTTGAGTATACTTGCATTTCTTTTTATTAATTACATCCAATTTTAAATTATATCCTAGATACATAATATAAATAAATGCTAAATTTATTATTATAGAGAAATACAGATATATGAAAATAAAATAACATTTTCTTACATATATATATATATATATATATATATATATGTATAAGTGAATTTTCACCTAAACTGTATATTTCTAAATATAACATGCTCAGTGTACTTAACATTATTTGCATGTTTGTCTTCAGGGTTGACCATTTGGCATTGGGTAACCAGTTGGTGTGCTCCTCCCTAAGGACTACTGTTATACTTGTTTCTTGCTGGCCATTCACAATCTGCTAACTGCTTCATAATTATTTCATGTGCCATGAACATCATATTTAATAGATAAAAAGATTGCAAGCTGTAATAGTTGTCTTAGCTCCTTGATTATTCTTTGTGTTTATGGTTATCATATAAGGGATATTTACAGTGAGACTCACAAACAGTATTATTCATTGTTTTCAATGTAATTTGGCAAAAAAAAAAACACTCAAGAGAATATGTTTGAAGTATTTTGATGTTCATCAGAAATGGGGGGAGAATTGGACAAAGTTGAGTGTCTTAGTCATGACTGCTATCTCAATGGTGTAGACAGAAATCTTTACTTTTCTAAAAAGATAATAAAAACTGGCCTCAATAGTTTATTTGGTTTTCTTGTTCCTCATAGGAACTAAGCCATAATTCTTGAGTCCACGCCATGTGTACATACATGCATCCATCAGTGCCTGTGTTTACTGGCGTACTTTGTAAGCTTATTTATTTTTAGATGTAGTTCCACTTTGAGTGTGAATGTGTTTAAACATGAATCAGAAATAAAGGAGTATGACAGATTCTAGCAGGCAATATTTAATTTTGCTTTTAAAATGAGTTTTCACCATTTTTCATTTGTTGAAAATGATTCATATAATTTCCCAAAGGTAAGTAGTGAGAAATAGATGATATTGAAAAGTTTATTCTGTGTTTTTCTCTTTTTATGAGAATTATGAACGTAAAATGCAAAGTTGTTTCTGGAGTTATAGCAACATTTAGCAATGTATGAAGAAAGGTCCAGAGTGAAAAATAAACAAATATACTATTAAAAATTCAGGAAGTACATTTCTCTTTCAGTTTCTAGCCTGACAGAAATAGGAAAACACATATATAATTGGATCAGAGAGTCTGTGGTGCTCTTTCTCTCTCACCTCCAAGCATTGTAGACTCACTGTTATTCCACAAGAGAAGGAAACAGAAACAGGATATAAGAATGAAAAACAAATAAAAAACAAATAACGGTGACTTTGGGAAGAACTCTGATCAGATATCTTCTCCTTTGTGAGAAAAATGTGTCTTTACTTATTTATTTGTTGAGAAAGTTCTGTCTAGAAGAAAGGACATTTATTATTTACCAGTGTGTTTTCACTGTGCTTAATAACTTTAGTAGAAAGTAGCATCCAGAAATAGAAAAAAACAGATTAGATAAATATGATTTAATATAGCATTCATGGTTTGGTGTTCTTTGGATATTAACTAAAGATCAATTGTAGTGTTATTCTGCCTACCTTTTAGTCAGGATCCATACTTCTATTTCATTTTTCTTCATATTTTTATTCAATAGTAAATTATCTAATTTGATTATCTTTTACCATCTCATTTTATAGAGAAGCTTGTGTAAGTCTTTATGACTGCAAATTTGTAATTGTCAGTTAGTTTTCGTGAGTAATGATTAAGCATTTAAAATATAAAGGTCTAAAATTTCTAATTATCACTTCATATGACACAGGCTATACTGATCCTGATAAAGACTGGCATTTTGCTCTCTGGTTATAGTGGGAAAGATAGAAAACGCCAAAGAAGATATTCCTTAAGTGTGGCAGCTTTTCTTCCCAGTCCTCTCCTTCCCATAAACACCTCTATCTTCCAGACAGATGGATTGTGGTCCAATATTATATCCTTCTTTACACATATGAGGACTAGATATATTTACAGAGCTGAGAATACATACAGCATGGAGACTAGCAGAATACATGGAAGCTTGAAGAATTACACCTCATTAGGGAGCAGCATGGGAGATTATGTTTGAAAGAAATGCCTGATCAGCAGATGACTGGGAATACAGAATTCTTGTGAAGTTAGTTCAAGTGCATTGAAATAGCAACCAGTTAGATAATATCTTGTTTACTTTTTAACTAAAACACTTCCTAATTCAGTTTTCAAGAAACAATTTTCTCCTCAAGGTAATCACTGTTATCATAGTGTCTTCATAAGGGATCTTATTGTTGTGAAGAGACACCATGACCACAACAAATGTAAAGAAAACATTTAAGTGGGGTGGTGATTACAGATTCAGAGGTTCAGTCCATTATCATCATGACGGGGAGCCTGGTGGCGTGCAGGCAGATATGGTGCTGGAGCTAAGAGTGCTACATCCTGTAGGCAACAGGAAGTCAACTGACACACTCAGTGGAATCCTGAGCATAGGAAACCTCAAAGCATACCCCACTGTTACACAATTCTTTCAACAAGATGATATCCACTCAAATAAAGCCACACCTCTTAATAGTGCCACTCTCTAAGAGATTATGGGGAGCCAATTACATTAAAACTACCACACTTAGAAATTTGTTACATGATAAATTTTAAGAAATTCATTTTAACAGAAAAATTATTCTTACAGAATCTAAATTCTAAAAAGCAAATACAATTACTTTCCATCAGAAGCAAAATTGAATCCAGCAGTAGCCACAAATACCCACCCACATCCCAGCATCTTTTACCCAGAAGACAACACTGTTACACATCTTCACTCAGCAAAAGCTGATTTAATTCTGTAATTATTTCTTCCTTTGTGATTT